CAATAGACTAGGCTAGTCCTAAATTTTTCTAGGTTCCTCCAATCCAACATTCTTCCATAAAATTACTAAAACAGGACTTGCTCTGTTCATAAAGCTCTATAAGCTAAAACTAGATAAATTAAAAAAAAACAGGTCCTGTGCCTGATAAATGGGCCACACAAAAGGTTCGGCAAACTGCCTGATGCCATAACCAGAGATACTTAAACTACAAACCAGGACAAAAAGTTAACGTTTTCCACACTGTAAATGGCTTTTCCTAAGACATCAGAAGAAGACACCATATCGTAAGAAGACTCTTACCCTCCTTAAAGCTACCTTTTTTATTTGACGAGATAATACTACAATTAAAATTTCACAATCAGCAACTGCTATAGATAACTCCGACAAAATCTATAACACACTTTTTCTTCAAATTGTACTGGTAAACCCTTTTATTATATATCGTTGACGTTCTCACTTTAATTCAACCCAGTCATAAAATACTGCTCAATGGCTATAATAGGTCTCACTCAGTTTCCCCCATAATCTTTTAATTTGTTTAGTTTATTGCTCCTAGGCCTGGGCTATTAGTTCAAACCATTACACAAACTAAATTTATTATATTGTTGCTAATTAATTATTTATTTTTTTAATATTATGATTTTTAAACTTTGTTATTATTGCCTGTCTAATCTTTGTAACAACAACTCTCCTAATCGCATAATGTTAACGCAACACCTCAAGATGATTATTGATGCCCAGAGACTCCAGACAAATCTACCGTGAAAACACTTTTCCTTCCAGCCTCATTGTTACTCAAATGTGGACCAGGTCCCTGACATAGACCCCACATACCTTCCCTCCATGTGGAACAGAGACAACTGGGACAAGTCCATCCTGGCACTGAGGGACGATTAAGCCTAACCACGAAATAGCTGACCAGTGATACTTTCATAAAAAGATCTTGATCAAAAGGGGAAAATGTCAAAGTTGATCATACGAACTGGGTCATTCTTTTCATACTCAACTAAAATAGAGTTGAGAAGCCAGGGGGGAGAAACACTCAGGGCACACAACATTGATCCAAAAATTAATTCTCTCCAAGCCTGGAAGCTGCAAATGCCTGCTGTAACCTGAAACCAGCTTTATCTAATGCCTACTGAAATGACCTCCTACAACTCTCAGACTAGTTTTTCCATCACTGTCACTTATCAATCAGAGCTTGCCAGCTCTTCAAAACCTTACTAATGCCAATCAAATTTCTCAAAACCCAATATACAACATTTCTCCTTTTTATAAAACCAGTTTGTTCTTCAGAAAACACTTTCACTTGTCCTAAAGGCTCCCCACAATCTACAGATTTTTTTCAATAAAAAATAAAGCTCTTCCTTTTCCTTCCACAGATCTCATAGTTTTTTGTTAACACGTGAAAATAAAAATTTACCATAATTCTACCACTCATAACTATTAGAAATGTATACGAATATTGAAAATGAGAAAAACACTGTATAGTTTTGTGATATGGTTCTTCACAGTTTAGGGTAAACACCACTTCTGCTATGTAATATTCAAATGAAAGTGCTAGAATTTATTCAACAAATTGGCCTATTGGGATGTTTAAGTTTTTCTGATATTTTACTACTACAATGAATGCCATAATGGATATCCTTGTTGATAAATCTTTGCCTACATTTCTTATTATTTCCTTGGAAATCTCAGTCAAATGGTATGTGTGTTTTTGAGATCTGATACTTACGGCTATCTTGCTTTCTAACTCCTGGTTTCAAGCGATCCTCCCACCATAGCCTCCCGAAGTGCGAGGATTACAGGTGTGAACCACCACTCCTGGCCCTATCTTGTTTTCAAGAAAGATTGTACAGAAGAAGGAGGAGGACGAAGAAGAGAAGAAGGAGGGGAGGAAAGAAGAAAGGCAGGCAGGAAGGAAGGCAGGAAGGAAGGATTGTACCAATTTATACTGCCTCTAGCAGTATTGGAGAGTACTACTTTTCCACATTAGGAAGTTACTTTCAAAAAGAGAAATTGGAACAGACACGGACTTAATAATGGAATCTACAACAGATTCTAAGTGGTTTGATGTTTAAAGAATACCAGCAAAATAACACGTCTCCACGGAGCAGAGGACTTCCATGAACCTCCGAATCTGATTTTAACAGGTTGCCATGCAGAGGGATCCTAGCAAAGCTTTTAGGTGTCAACTTCGATCTTAGACACCAGCTAGAGATGATTTGGAAACCAACTGATCTTTAGGGTTTTTAAATCCAGATCAAATGCTGATTTAGTTGGAAAAATATTTGAACAGGAGCCAGGTAAGTGCTC